TATATACATATTACATTTTGTTTTTTGGGTTTAGATACACTTTACAGCAAACAGCATGAATTGCAGAAACCAACACCAACAAGTCCAATTACTTGATTCACTACTGTGAAAAAGAAATTATGTTTGCTTTAGGTTACTGTGGCTTTATTAAATAGCCCCACTTATTAAATCTGAAAGTTTTCTATACACAGGTAGAACAAACACAAAGAGGAGGAAACCGATAGAGGAACTTGACAAATCTTTATATTTATACGGCGGTGATCGGTGATGTGGAGCTTATAAAGGGTCAAGGTCCCCCTTCATGCACCAATGTGACAGTACTGGGTGCCAAAGCAGCCAATCACCAAGCACTGGCACTAACATGTCAGAGTAAGTAGAGTGAATCACATGCTCCCTCATATCTGGAAGCACTGGGTATATCACTTCACTTTCCTGAGTGAACGGACTAATGGAAGGGGTTACCAAAGAGAAGGTTCGTAGGTGCAGCTACAGGCGCTGGCATTAAAGTGAACCCCCTTGCCCTGCACAGACAAACCGCAGGTTCACTTTGCATTGCAATTGAAGTCAAAACTTTTTTTTTTTGATTTGGATAGAGTGGAGAAGGATTAGAACCCATGTCATGTTTTTATTGCTGTCTTTGCCCCATGACGGAGTGCCACCCTGGTGACCGTTATCACTGAAAATGAAAGAAAATCCCAAATTTTGGGTTCTTATCAAAACATGAATATATGTGAAATCTTCCAATGGAGACACTAGTTCTCGTGACCCTAATGACCACTAGGGATTTCTCTCTCTTTGGAGGGATTTCCTCTCACTTCCTGTTGTAGCTATCAGACAAGTAAAGGGAAATCTCCCCAGTGGCATACAGATGGCAAATAAGCTGACAGGGGTTATAGCATTTCTTTACTCCATCCAGAAGTAAATACAGTTTTGGCTTCAGTTCTACTTTCTGGTGGCAATCTTCTATCATACATTGTAGCAGGATAGAATACAATCACTATATTGTGAACTATTGCCAGAATACCTTGCATTGTATTAGTAATTCTGATGTCATTATATTGGATATACTAGCATATTATGTGGCCCCATATTAAAATTACTATCATAATATTATGATTTGTAAGCACAGCGTGTGGCACGATACCAATAATACTTGTGTAATGAAGTCATGCATTGACTTAACGTTTGCCATCGTATTTCTAATCCTACTGCAATTATTTAACCCGATGACCTAACATGGCACCTTGTCCATAAAACTGTTACTGTCATGTGACATAAATAAACAAATGATTCACAAGACACACTCATCCTTGTTGTCGGGAAGACAGCACCTTTCATTACATCACAACACATTTAAAATGTTATTATTGCTGTCATTGAGCCATCACATGACGCTGTCACATGTACGGGAGAAACCAATGGCTGTATTTTAATTGTCATGGAATTCAGATTTGTAAACAAGCCTAACCAACATCTATGTTGTAAGAAAATGGCTTTACAAGAACTAGTATTGATACTGATGTCCAATGACGAGGAAGCTGTGACAGTTCTCATACATATATTGCACTTTTAATGCACTTGCACTTTTAATTTATATTAAGTATTATTAATTAAAGTAAATTCCAACTTCACAAAATGAAACTGGGTAAGATAATAAGTGGCAGCGTTGCCTCTACCAGCTTATCAGATTTTTGCTTCTGTTGTTTACAAAGTGACAGTTGGAATCTGATTTTGTGGTTTAAAGTGGAACTAAAACCTCTTATTCTTTACAGGCAAGGAAGGCGCCATCTTAGCTTCTATTTGGATTGCAGTTGCCATGGTGCTACACATGTGATCAGCTATGACATCAACCATTTGAGGGCTTAAAAGTTTGGCTAAGAGCTGGGGTAAGCACACTGGCAACATTGACAGTTAGCATGCCTTGAAAGTAAGTGTTTTGGGAGACTAATAAATCTAGTTCCGCTTCAAGGAGGACTTCCATAGTACTCCAGTACTGCTTGAACCCAGAATGTATTTGGTCCTCCATTGTTGGTTCCAGGAAAGTCAAACCAAGCTGCTTAAAACTAGCCAAGGCTGCTTACTTTGAATGCGTAATGTTTGATGGTGGCTATGACGTCTTTGAAGAGGATCTTCGAGGTGAACGTGTGTCCGTGGTAAATGACCGGCTCTCCGTTTGTCCCCTCCCAGCAGTCCAGCTCTACACAGCGGCAGCCGTCCATAAATGCCCTACACATCGGAATTAATGAACACAATGAATTGTTAGCCTTGGCACATTTGTCACAATGATTATAAAATAAACCACAGGGTAGACTGCCTAACCAGGCAGGGACGGCCATGATGAAAAAAATCTATAAGGTGTGAATTATGTCTCAGAAAGTAAATCTTGTCCTCCAGCTTCTGTGGACGGATAAGAAACAGTAGAGTAATAGGGAAGGAATTTAATATGTATGGTCATCAATATTTACCAGAGGGTGAAAAGCTTGGTACAGACTGTGCAGATGCACAAGGGCCCTCTTCAACATAGGGGCCCATTTATATGAGACATAGTCAGATGGGTTAGGTTTTAAATGCCATCTGTGTCCCATTGGGGCATTATTGTCTGTCAGATATTAAATGCTGTCTGCGTCCCTCAAAAGGAGACTTCCCTTCTCTTCCTGTCCTCTCTGACACCTATCACCCGAAATGGAAGGGAAGAGGAACCGCGATGAAGGTTCTATCTCATCTGCACGTTACTAGAAAATGTGTTTATATTGTTCTGTGTCCCAGTTGAAGGGTATTTCTCCTCACTTCCTGTCCTCTCTGACACCCATCACCTGGATTGGAAGGGAAGAGGAACCGCGATGAACGTTCTATCTCATCTGCACCTTACTAAAAATTGTGCTTATATTGTTCTTTGTCCTAATTGAAGGGGATTTCACCCCATTTCCTGTTTTGCTTGACACCGGATAAATACAGGAAGTGAAAAGAATAAAAATAAACTATTAAAAAAGGTCACATTGAACCCTTTCCTACTGTATTGAAAACTGGGGAAAGAGTTTTGGCTGGAGATGGGCTTTAACCTGTAAGTTTGCACCTTCCTAAATGACAGCAGCCTTTATTTTTGGAAAATGAATATGTAGCTGGGGTACACGGTAACCCTGACTTTTTTCACCTGATGTAGGATTCGGTGCTGCTGCTTCCCACCAGTTGGTGGTTGGTCAGGTAGGTGTTGTGGGAGCTGGAGATGAAGTAATGGCTCAGGGGTTGAGTCATGTCCTCATACACTTTCCTGTGCTTCTGATTAAAGATGTCTCCCTCTGCAGACAGCAGGTACATCATGAAGCCCTCTTGCATCATCAGGTCATGCTGCTTAGCTGGGGGCAGAATAGAAGAGAATCAGATACAAATACAAACACTGAGCCTGCAGGGCAGAAATTAAATATGCCAGAGGAAGGCACTCAGACACATTAGTTGACTGTCACACTTTTTGCCAAATACTGAAACTGCTAAGGAAACTATAATGTTTCAGGATTCATTTTTAAAGTTTGATATTTTATTACACATATGTTTTTGCACGATAGATTTGCAATTTCTGTTTTACAAATAAACTTTTAAAACATGACAAAGGATTCGCAGAGCATTATAAGTTATCTAAACAGACATCACAGCAGTTGGTGCTTGCTTTGCAGCTCCCTTTGTCTGATTGAAACCTCAGACTCCGTCCATTGACAAGGGAGAAATCACTGTAGATAAGGGGCTTCTTTCAGCATAGCTAATATAATTAAAACTAGAGTGCCACTTGCACCAGGCGCATTATTGTACGATATTATGTTTATTCACTTGCTTTGCGGTAAGTCAGACCATTCGTTTTGAATGGGCTGCCGGTGCACCACAATGCTGGTTTTAACAGACCCGAACCTTCTTTTCTTTTACACCTCAGTGCACAACAACAACAACACACATATTGTTCACATGTCTGCATTGCAGTGCACTACACTCCAAGTTCCTGGGTGCATTGGAGTGCCCATAGAAATAATTACAGCAACGCACAGATGTGTGGCTACAACCTGCTTGAAAATCAAATAACTGATTGCTTGACATGGGCAATGCAACCACTTTCATTTCCTTCCTCGTAGACTTAGTCATTCCCGTGTGTGGCTGTACCTATGAAGGGTTAATAAGCGGTGGCGCTGCTAAGCGTGTGCGGGGTTAGCTGAGATAACACCTTGTGAACAGGACAATCAAGAAGAACAGGTTTCTTGCATGAAGGTCTACGAGTGTCTCCGCACCCATTAGGTGCCATAACAAGACAATACAAGTGTATACATCTCACCCGTATGTCACTGGATTGTTAACACGCCGGAATATCCACCATCTACAGCACATCACAACTTACCTTTACACCACTGGAGACAGGAAATGTGAATATTAATTCTGTGATATTAAAGTCACAGCTAAGCACACTTGCACTTTAGATCTCTGCCTACCCCCACCCCTCTCTGTTCTTCTCCACATCCATACATTGATTTATTTAGTAACTTAACCATGCTGTTGCCTTGACTTCAACTGTGTGCAAGCAAAGGGCTCTTGGGAGATGTAGTCT